CCACTAGCCACTGCGTGGGGGGAAGTGTGGCAGTCTGCCTTCTGGAAGGCTGATAGTCCCGCAAATGTCGTGGACACCTCTAGTCTGCTCTGCCCTGCCGAGTCGCTCGGTATTAGGATTAACCTCATGGCAATGAGTCTAGGGTGCTATGTCAACAAGACCATATTAAGAGTTCTGTACCTAAAAGGGCAGATTGGAATGTGTGGCTAACTGTCTCCACCAACAACTGCCTCCTTTGCCGTGGGGCCAGAAGAACTGCCTGGTGCCCAGCGGAAGCAGGCACTGTGGCCTTAAACACTCATGAGCAACCACTTTAGGTGTAACTAACTATTGGTCTTTCTCTGTAAAAGGCTGATGGGAACAATTAGTCTAAAGATTCAATGGACCACGTGAACCTCAGCATCCACAACTCTGAGACCAGGAGCACTAGATGGTGCCCGGCTACCACTGCTGACGGCTCTGAAGGGTCACAATGGAAGGTGCTGGACAGATGGGAAGAAATGAGGAACACAATTCAACATCACAAAGAAGGCCAGGCTGACTGATGCGAAAGAGACTGGTGGAACCCCGAGGCCGTCAAGCCTAGAACTGAAATCCCCCATGTGACCCAACTCTCAGCTAACTAACAGGCCTATGCATTGAACAAAAGCACCAGAGGGGCACACACGTCTTAGAACAACCAACCGTTGGAGCTCCCTTTGAGCTCTGCAGGGCTGTGTTTCCCCGGGGAGTGAAGCTCGGAAGGCAGGAAGGAGCAGGAGAGAAGGAAGAAGGAAAATGGGAGGCGCCGGGAGGATGCGGGAAGAGAGCTGTGCCGTTGTGGGGATGGCACTCAATGTCACGAACAAATTGCAATGGATGGTTGGAGGGAAGACTGGAGTGCTCCGAAACTTCCAACCAACTCACAACAAGAAGACAGACAGACATCAACAACAAAACCAAGGACAGAGGATGGGGGAAGGGCTAGAACCTTCCTTGTGAGTTGTTAAGACTGGAAATCTTCACAGGAGTAGAAAGTCCCGTCTTTCTCCTGTGGAACAGCTGACGGTTTTGAACCGCTGACCTTGCGTTTGAAAGTCCAACAAGTAACCGCTGTGCTGTGAGTAGGAACAGACTTGATGACGGCAGTGAGTTTGTTACTTTTAATGGACTCCAGATTTTTTGGCGCCATGGATACTGGAAGAACCCTGGAAGTTACTGCTCTGAGATCTTAAGAGATCATCTTTAAGCTTTGAACAACAAAAAGAATATCCCCCGAAATCTTAGAACCAAATCATCAGCCAGCTTCCGTAGTGAAGAATGCCTGGCTGGTCACTGTGCTGCGATCTAGCTACACAGAACCGAACTGATGTCCCAGACCCAAAAGACCCGGTGGGTCCTCAGGCCGTGAGCTGAGCTAACGTCGATGGAAACTCAGACGGAGGTGGGAAGGCTGGAGATGTCGGCGACGGGACCGTTCAGAGAGCGGGCTGGATTAGTGTGCATTCTGCTGTGTAGATTCTCAACAAGGAAACAACATATTCTGCACCTGGCACACGCAGGGCCGGGACAGATGTGTGTGAGGATGACCAGGGAACTGAGGAATGCTCCCATGAGGAAGGCCTTCACCCGGCCAAGACCCCTGTGGACTGGTCCCTCCAGAGGTGGGAGACCCTAAGTTTTGGTTCTTGAACTTCACCGACTTTTGGTATTTGGAAGGCGAGGGGATCAAGACACCCTAAAGGGCAACCTGGGCTCCCACCTCCCCGGGGTGGGAAAAAGGTAGAGAAAAGATGACAGGCTTTTCCTTCGAGACCCTGGCCTGGTAGACCCATCCCGTTTTCCCACTTCTAAGCTTCCCTCATGTCCCCACCTTCAGACAAGCTCCCCATCGGTGATGGGCTCGGATGTACAATGGTTTCAGTGAGCTGACATTGCTCATTACCTACCCTTACAACATGTCTAACTGTCCACGTCCAGCTATCCGTAACTACCATGCCACATTGCTGATGTCTGGGAGGGCGAGCCCACGCTCATTCCTGTGTCGTCTAGGCACACTCCTGTGTGGTCTAGGCACACTCCTGGATGACCCGGTCACCCTCATGGATGACACACTCACACTCCTGGATGACCCGGTCACACTCCTGGATGACCCGGGCACACTCCCAGATCACAGTCACACCCTGGATGACCCGGTCACCCTCCTGGATTTCACAGTCACACCCTGGATGACACAGTCACATTCAGGGATGACACAGTCACACTCATGGATGGCACACTCCCACTCCCAGATGACCCAGTCACACTCCCATATCACAGTGTCACACCCTGGATGACCCGGTCACACTCCCAGATGACCCAGTCACACTCCTGGATGATACAGTCCCAGTCCCGGGTGACACAGTCACACTCCCAGATGACCCAGTCACACTCCTGTATGATACAGTCCCAGTCTCGGGTGACACAGTCACACTCCCGATGATACAGTCACACAGATGGATGATTCGCTCAGTCCCGGATGACCCAGCCACACTGGGGGCACCATCTACAGCCCATGTCGGGGTGCCCAGCCCCACTCCTGTGTCTGACCACCATGCATCATCGGCATGCATGCGGGTTCGGGACATTTCCTTCCTTTTGTTTAAATGCTACATGAATTTAATTTATATACCACCAATATTCACGGTGAAATTTATGCTCGTTTAGTATCTTTCTTTCATTTCCCGTTTTCTCTAGAGCTAGGACTGATAACCCAATT